AGATGGTGAATGCTAGATTTCGAGCCCTTAACCTTGATTTTCTGGATCATATTCCACACCTTTGATATAGGTGTGCGCGAATTAATTTTTGATACGTATTTTCGCGCCAAGAGTGGCGTTGACTTTGCTTGAAAGTACGTCGTGCTTTAGCGTTTAGAATTTTAAATTTGTCTAAATTGTGGACCATAGGATGGCGACGGCAATAATGCTCGGCTTTCTTCCGTGCCTTCCTTCCTAGCCTGTTTGCAATCAGTGTTAAACCATGGTTCTCGTACGTGTGGAATTGCAGAGGACTTCGGGATACACTCGTCAGCTATTTTATTTAGGTCATCTGAGAGACAGTTTATGGCATCAGGAATATCATTAAAAAGTTCAGGTTGTAGTTTCCAGCACAGAGAGTTTCATATAAATGCCAGATAGCCTTTTTTGAAATTCCATCTCGATGATCGAGGGACATCAGATGGATTCACGGGTTTTAGTATTGTTGGGAAATGATCATAAAGAGCCTGCAGATCGGTTAGTTGGACAGCCAATGAAGGCGGAATGTACAAAGAGCAATTCAGGCAACCTGTAAAAGCAACCTGTAATTTAAGTCGAACTGCAACGACTTGAAGATTTGTTTTAAGTGGAACTGAGCTATGGATAATATTGTTCCTCACCAGGATTGATGACCCACCAGAGGCTCTATCACCCGGAGGAGAAAAACAGTGATATGCACTGAACTGACGGAGGTCAAAGTTATCTGTCTGCTTCAGATAGCTTTCTTGGATGCAGAATGCTGACAGTTTAAAATCTTGGTTTAATAACTGTAAAACGTTTAACTTATTTCGGAGTCCTCTACAATTCCATTGAATTATAGCTGAAGACATTACTTCCTTGGTGGATAGACAGGAGATCTGCCCCTCACCTTCCTTGAGGGTGACAAGCTATGAGTCCGACCTTGGGTATGGTCGGACACATCCATGTCCTCAAGTGATCCAAACTTATTATATAGTTGGACCTGGTCATCTGACCCCTTTGGAGGTCTGTTACTGTGATTTTTCTTATGAATTTCATTGTTCGGTCTGGATGTAGTTTTCATATTTGGTTTTACAGTGGAGTCTGATTTTGATGCTTGTTTTTGAGAAGCAGATGAATCCTTCTCAGAAGATGCCTTGGTCTGTACAGTGATGGTTTGTACACTGGAAGTAACTTTTGTAGTCTTTGCTTGAGTTTCAGTAGACAGCAATGTGGGAGCTGATGTTCTAGCCCACGTATAATCCGTGGCTCGCTTCTTGTGGAGTGTGCACGGAGACAGCAATCTCTGAATCTGCTCTCTGTCAAGACCTTTGCCAATATCGGGGTTGCTGTGTCTGTGCACAGGACGTTGAACTCTTGCCGTGGTATCATCCCAGGTAACATGCCAGCATTGGGCCAGCATTGGGCCACTGCTGTAAAAAAAATTGGGCCATTGCTGGCTTTCAGCATTGGGCCAATGCTGATTATCAACGTTGGCCCAGCATTGGCCCAATGATGGCAGGCCAATCCGTAGCCAGTACTGGCCCAGCATTGGCCCAATGATGGCGTGCCAGTCTGTAGCCAAAACTGTGCCTTTGTTTTGCCAATCATATCCTCCTGGCTTTTTAATCTATATATGTGGTTCTTCATTTATTAAGGCCAAGAAATTGTATCTTGGTTTTCTCTACCACCCAACTCCTGTGTTTGTAACAAACAGCACGTGTAAAAATACTGTGAAAACATGATGGCACTTTGAAATGAACGTAGGGCTTTGACACTTTATTGCTAAAGTAATTACCAACTGTAAGTTAAATCCTAAGGTTTTTGAACAAGAATGAAATAAAAACGTTATAACAAACAGGACATATGTTCACATATCATTATATGTCGTACAAAAATATAGAACTTTAACAAATACCTTAGAATTGTGTTGAGATATGAAATTCAATAATGCTGAAATGTGTATATATCTTAAATAGTTGAATATACGCGGTTGAAAACAGAAAACAAAAAATTAAATGCATTTTAACAACTTTAATTATCTCTCTTATAATAGAATGCAATGAAATAAAAATTTGAATGAATGAATACAATAGGATAGCAGATAAGTACACAGTTTATTCTGTGCTTGTCTCAGCAGCAGCAGCAGCGCTCTTCTTCTGCTTGGCAAGCAGGGTCCTCTCCCTCCTCCCACCGTCCCTGTCCGGAGCATATCGGAACCACAATTTAATGTGGCTTTCCAGCTCGCAGTCGAACGCCTTTAAACATACCGGGTTCTTCCGTGCTGCCTCTGAAATGGAAACTGAAGCTGATAGAAAAAAATAAATAAAGCTGCTGTATCAATAATTCTCCAATTTCATTTAACATATTAATGTATATTGTTATTATGTATTGTCCTATATGAAGTCAAACTTACGTAAATGGATCGTATGACTGAGTACTTACTAATAACAACTTCCTTCAGTCTCATCTGTTGGAAGGGTTCTTTTCCTGAAGTCCCCTTCCAATTCACCTGCTTGGCGACCGAGTTTGTCATTAGCATTGTCAAAACTCTGCGTATTGTGTCTCCTGTTGACACGCCTCCTGCCACTCCGAGCTGCCCAACCTGTTGGATTGTAAATTTTCAATAATTAACTTCCCTAGCGTGTATAACTATATATTATGGCCATGTAAGAGTAATATTCCGTACAACAATCACTATTAATTGGACTTGGATTGTAACAATTGTTTGAATAACTCAAGTAGTGAAAGGAATGAAATTGATCTAAAACAAAATTAATATTTACCGCTGATCTCAATCTGGAGGAATCCTCCAGAGAAGTATTAGTTTCCCTCAGTTCCTCGATGGTTTTGAGGGGGGAGATGCAACTCCTCAGCTGGTGTCAAGTCCGTGGAGCCAGACTGTAGAATCCTCAGGACCTGGTGAAGCAGCTTCTGATTTTCAAGAGCCACTGCTCGAGTTGACTCCACGATCTTTACAAGTTCAACAACTTCCCCTGGTAGTTTTGAAAATAGAAACAAAATAAACAATTAACAATTGTGCAGGTTGTGGAAATAGTTTTTCATCAGTACTGTTGAGCACAAATGTTTACCATTATCAAGTTGATACATTTTTTAAATAAGTAATATAAAGCATAAATGTTTAACCATTATTATCATACACACCTCTAGTTGCCCCCACTGTTGAACTTGGTGAGTGACTGGGCCTCCATACATCCTGTCGGGACAGCAATGGACATGGTTCGGGTAAGATCCGTCGCCTGGGGGATCGCCGTGGGCTGGTCGGGACCGACAGTGTAGGTAGGGGTGGAGACGGTGCCACAGGTAGAGAGACTGGAAGGCGAGGAGGAGAAGGCGGCTGGGGAGAAACTCTAAGGCGAGGTGGAGAAGGTGGCATGGTCACAGAGGACTTTGACGCTCGTGACTCCTTGGTCTTTGCCACTTGTGTCTCCTCATCACTTGAGCTGGAGCTCGAACTCAAGTACCTGCCAGTTGGTCTGAAATCAAAAATAAGTTCGAATTTATAAAATGTATTTAGAAATGCAAACAATTCAAAGAGCTCAAATTGAAGCCTTTACACTAAATCATTATCAATTATTTAGTTTTGTAACAATCATCTTGTAATTTTGTGATGACAAATCATATCTATTTAAAGAAGTGTTAAATGTTTATATTCACGCTTCTAACCATATTCACTCAAATGTATTTTGGTACCTTCTTTTCCTTGACTCTCTATCATCCTCTGCCTCCGTGTCGAGGTTAGACATATCAGTTGCCAGGGGTAGTTTTCTCCTCACCTTGTCATACGATTCTGTAATTATTATAGAACACATTTAATTAACTCATCATTATGCCAGTATGTCATCTGGTTAACAATGACCTATCATTTAATAATAATTATTTTTTAAATGAATGAATTAGTATGAAACGTGTTCAGAATTAAAGATAAACTAAACTACACTGATTAGCTTTAGTCGTTTATACTTACCACTACTGTACATGACTGTGATGGTATACAGTTTCCATGTATCCTTGTCTGGGAGGCAGCAGGTCTTCACTCCCTTGTCCAGTTGGTTACTGTTTTTTGAACTTGGGCCAAAAGCAGTACTCTCTTCCGTGGAGCCAAGTGTGTGGCACAATCCCCACTTCATTAGTCTTTTGGAACTTGACTATGTGGTACATTTCCTGTTATAAAGCACTTGTCGCTTGAATTTACAGATTAGAATAGCATCTTTACTGTTAAAAAGGTTGTGTATAGAATTAGCAGTATCATGTCACTGTTTTCTGTACCAATGAAACAACATACACACTTTACTGAATGTTTAGATGTAGCAAAGGAAGTACAATAAATGATTCTTTTTCAGGTAAGATAACATATTTCTTTTGAATTTGTGATACCCCCCCCCAACGTACAGATGGTCACTTAAATGTGAAACTTTAAAAATTCCAATAGAAGACGATTTAAGTGGATAAGTGAAGAAATCTTTTTTGGATAGGAACTTAGCATATATGATTAAAATATCTTTGTTTGCATTCTGTACAATATTTTTTATTATCACAACTTCATTGTTAATACTAACACAGCTATTTCCAATTGATTTTGACAAAAAGAATCGGTCCATGTGGATTTCTTTATATTGTGTCACGTATCCTAAATTGGATAAAATAGGTCCATCTGAATGTTCAAACTTTACACCTTGATTCTCAGAAACATGTTTACCTTTGTGAAGAGGTACCTGACTTTCACCTAAACGTCTTATTATCTGCTGAAGGGGGCATTTTGGTGTTCGAAGTAGCTTTTTTAATTTGCCTAAGAAGCTTTCAAAAGGAAAAGATGAAAAATTGTCCAAGGGACCAAACCTTTTTACATCCTGTGATAGATGTACCAAACCATGCAGGTTATAAACAACCATATCATTGCCATAAAGACGCGAAAATGTTCAACAAAAGACACAAATTGTCTTTGGCATAATCGCAATAATTTGGAACTAGTAGCGGGGTTGCTAAACAGGTAATACCGACAAAAGAAGCAGAAAATTTAAGTACACGGCATTGCACAAAATATCATTTAGGGCAACCGGCCCAGTATATAATAAGAATAATCTATATTCTGTTGCTTTCCATCTGTCTATTTCCCTGAGAGATCTCCCTTTTCTACAGAACTCCCTTGGGATGTATTTTGAATACAGAGTTAGCTTATCTGACAGTTTGTTTATTGCAGTTGCTCCAATTCTACATCCTACAGAAACGGGACCCTTCATCCATAAAAACAACAGTTTTTTCATGACACCTAGGCAGACCAAATGCATATAATCAAGTGGAAACTGGGTAACCATACCTATTGATAATTGATTCAGTGGTGATCTGAATAAATGATGCTCTTCATCAGCCATTTCATCAAATTGAAGATCAGTTCTTAGAGGCGCTTTTGTTTCTGGGAATGTCATCTTGTTCAACCATTTACCATTTTGAAGACACTTATCACAACCAGAGTAACCGTTGTGGCCTTTCACTCCTTTAACAAACGCCCTGGCTGGTGTATCGCATATAAAACATGAAATGGAAACTTCAATTTTGAGGCCATTGAGGTCTAGCCCATCACGCTCAAGACCCTTCATTTCTTCTACAAATTCGTTTAAATATTCACCAAGTTTTGGTGGTTTGGAAGCCCCATAGAAGAGGCCTATGATAAATGGTTGACCAAGAAAGGGATGGATGACTCTACCAAGTATTGGCCAGAACTGCATTGAGGTGCTTTTAAAAACAGGTAAACCATCAATATTCACTTGAAATTTCACTTGCTTACCAGGAATATTGAATTCCATTCTATCAGAAAGCTGATATGATAAAGAACTTGAAATTCCAAAATGAAAGTACTGCCCCCCTGTAATGTTTTTCACAGCGTAACTCTGAGGAGTAAGAAGCAATGTACGTGGATCCTTAGGAAGAGAAGGGTAGTCATTACGTAGAATTTCTAATAGTGACGAAATTGTTCTATGAGGAACCTGGTATTTGACTGCCCATTCGCTAAGTTTTGACATCATTATTTCATCTTTGTCTCGATATTCATTTTCAGAGCTGTCATTTTCAGAACTACTTGTTGCATGGCTAGTTTTTTGAAAATCATGACTTGCATTTTGTTCAAATTCATAAATTGTGTCATATTCATCTTCATCATTAACGACATCTTCATCACTACATGAGCCTTCATCAGAAAAATGTTGTTGTAGATGCTAAAAATGGACTTGCTTGTGATACAGACGTTGATGTTAGAGTTTCCTCAGCATTATATTGGTTTTCAAATAAATCATATTTGCTGGCTGATGCCAAAGCTTCTAAATGATTTGAAACCCTTTTTCTAACTTTACGACGAGATGTCCAATACGAGTCATTCATCTTGATAAAGTCAATATACCGGTAAATACAACGTACAATTCTATCTAAAAAATCAAATAATATTCTAGTTAGTCTGTCGTCCAGACCCTGGAGCAAGAATTTAAAGGAGCCTTCTTAAGTCTAGAAATTCTGACAATTCTAGATTGCCTTACCTCTGGGGTTCTTTTCAATTTTGATTAATATGTGATGTTAAAATGAAAATTTCACTCTATCAATTTTGTATATTTCAAATACTTTCTTTTCAAAATATAATTTGAGAATTTAACAATCCCAGTCAGTCAGATATGCAATTGTTACCTAATGTGGTACTGAAAAGTATATACATGTATTTCTGATTACAGAAAACAGTGACAAGTATAATACTGAAACAAAATGTTGCAGTAAATGGAGAGGATGGCCACGTTTAACTCAATGGTGCTTACGTATCAAATTACAACCATTTCCAAATAACCCATTTATCTTTTAGTAACATGTTTACATATATTTTAAAACAGTGACTATGTGGTGGACTATACCTTTCTTTAAAAGATCCTAGAATATCACGTGGAAAATGGACTTGAAATCTGTAAAACCTCGGACAAGAGCAAGAGTGAACAATGGTGGAAGATACCGCTCAAAGGAGAAATTCCTCAGTTGATAGTCTGCAGCAAATGTATATGTTTCAAAAGTTTCCATTGTTTGTAGTTTTTATAAATTATAATTAGATTATAATAGCCTAAATAAATGTGCACTGATTGTATGAAACTGGACAAGGGCTTTTGAGATATATTTGTAAGTTAATCTTCAAGTTTCACGACTAAAAGTAGCTTCGGGCAGATGAACTGATAAAGTGTTTAAATTTAGAACACATGGGTCAATGCTGCTACTCTGCTGGGAATCTACTGGTACCAGCTGGCCGCTGAGAGACAGTGGCTCGCCCGCTGTGGCCCACTGCTGTGCCAATGCTGTAAGCCCGTTGCCGGCACAAGCGTAACTCGCGGCACTAGTACCAGCATTGGGCCAATGCTACCATGCTACCTGGGATAATACCTATAATAATACCTATCTCTTGACTTTTTCGCGATGTTCCCTTCCGCACTCAATAAAAGCAGGTTATGTTAACATCGGGGTGGATGTGTATGTCCCCAATCCACTCCAGTGTTACAAGTGTCAGCATTTCGGTCATGGGTCTCACTCATGTCGAAACTCTGTGGTGTGTCACCGCTGTGGTGACCATCATGAGAGTACAGACAGCGAGAATGACTGTAAATGCGCAAACTGTGAAGGCCCACATGCTGCTTCAAAAAAGTCAGAATTCAACTAAGTTGAATATCCCTTAGTCACCCGCACTGTAGCTACATCCTCTACTGCTAATCAGACTGGCTTGACTTGGGTCAAGTCTGAAAGACCTGTCTATTCAGCAAAAGCACCTACTTCACCAGTAAATCAGTCTACTTCTGGGTCACAAACTGAAATTCAGCCTGCGACATCAAAGACTTCTGCTTCACAGTCAGTTACTTCACAAACAGCTACTGACTAAACCAAAAAGAAAAAAGGAAAAAAGTTAAACAGAAACCAACCACCTATTGTCTCTTCACCTTCCGAGGTTCCTCTTCAAAACTCGTTTGAACCTCTGGACATGTAGGTTACTCTGTCCTCACAAGACAGGCGGAGGAGTAGCTTCTCCTAATATACCCATGAACAATCGCCAATTGAGGCACCATGACTCAATTGGCCAATATAATTCAATGGAACTGCAGAGTACTTTAAAATAACTTTAATGAAATACAGTTACTTATTCAAGATTTTCGACCGTCAGCATTATGTCTCCAAGAGACATATCTAATAAGCACAGATAACTTTGATTTACGACAGTACAGTGATTACCATTCATTCTCTCCTCCAGGAGATAGAGCAACAGGAGGTGCTTCAATTTTGGTGCGGCAGGGTGTCATACATAGCCTTGTCTCACTTAATACAAATCTTAAGACTGTAAGATGGCGATTCAGCCACTTATTTACATGCAGCTACGGGAACATATTCTTCCCTGGATCTGTCCCTCGCCGATTCCAACTTATATAATGAATTAGAATTGATGGTCCATGATGACCTATGTGGGAGTGATCATTTCCCCACCATTCTCAAAACATCAACCCTGGTGATGATTCACCTTTTATAAGAAGGAATTTCGCTAGGGCTGATTGGTCATTGTATAAGACACTATGTGCTGATCACTGAAAACATGATATTTTTGCGAACAGTGAAGATCCTATACAGTTGTTTTCAGATATTCTTAACAACATTGCTGACCAAGCTATACCCAAGTCCTCAGCACTTCCACATATTCGTAAACCATGGTTCAAAAATGAATGTAAACAGGCCAGAAAGAGTAGGAAGAAAGCTGAGAAACAATTTCGCCGACATCCTACAGTCCATAATTTAGATAAAGTTAAAATTGTAAATGCCAAAGCTCGACGCTCATTTAAACAATATAAGTGTCAGTCTTGGAGGAATAATGTTTCTTAAATAAATTCATGTACACCTATGTCAAAGGTGTGGAACATGGTCCAAAGAATAAAGGGCAAAGGTTCTAAATCTACTGTACACCATCTGAAGGATGGTGACAATCTAATAACTAATAAAGTTGAAATAGCCAATATACTTGGCAAAACTCTTGCCAAACATTCTTCATCATCAAATTATGTCCCTGAGTTTAAAACCCCCCAGAAACAACAGGAGAAGAAAAGAATCAATTTTAAGTCAGACAATGGTGAAGATTATAATGAATTAATTTCATTACACGAGCTACATACCGCCCTTGTCCAAACTCATGATACAGCCACAGGGGCTGATGATATCCACTATCAGCTCCTGAAGCATTTACCTGAATCATGTTTGGGAACACTGCTAAATATTTTTGATTCAATATTGACTTCAGGGAATTTCCCTGGCGTAATGCCATTGTAGTCCCTATTCCAAAACCTGGCCGGGATCATACTGATCCGTCTAATTACAGACCAATCTCTTAAACGAGTTGTGTCTGAAAAACCATGGAACGAATGATAAACAATAGATTAACATGGTATCTTGAAACCAATAACCTTATAACAAATATTAAACGTGGTTTCAGGAAAAATCGTGGTACCATTGATCATTTGGTACGTTTAGAATCCTTTGTTAAAAATGCAATAGTAAATAAACAACATGCTGCATCGATATTCTTTGATCTAGAGAAAGCATACGATACCACCTGGAGGCATGGCATTTTGAAGGATTTACATGACTTCGGTTTGAGGGGTCGTTTACCTCTTTTTATATCACAGTTTTTAACAGACAGGCAATTTCAAGTCCGAGTGGGTTCAACCCTGTCTGTTTATTATAATCAGGATCTGGGTGTCCCACAAGGCAGTATTTTGTCTGTGACTCTATTTAGTATCAAGATCAACAGTTTATCCAAGGTTTTAAATAATTCAATTGATGGATCACTTTTTGTGGACGATTTTGATATTTAAAAAAAAATATGCACACGATGGAACGGCAACTGCAATTATGTTTAAACAAAATAAATAAATGGTGTCTTGAATTTGTCTTTAAATTATCTAAGTAAAAAACTAATTGTCTACACTTTTGAAGGAAATATAAGCCTCATAAGGACCCAGAACTATCTTTAAATGGCACTCCCATCAAAGTTGTAAAGGAGGCCAAGTTCTTGGGCCTAATTTTCGACTCCCATTTAACTTTTCTTCCGCATATCAAATATCTTAAAAAATTGTGCCTGAAGGCGCTTAACTTGTTAAAAGTCGTTTCCAAGTCTTAGTGGGGAGAGGATCAAGCTACCCTCCTACATTTATATCGATCACTGGTCCGTTCGAAACTTGATTATGGCTCCATCGTATATGGTGGAGCCTGCAAACGTAACCTTAAAATTCTTGATTCTGTCCACCATCAAGGTCTAAGATTCCGTCTTGGATCCTTTTGAACTTCTCCTGTTGACAGTCTCTGTGTTGAGGCCTAAGAGCCATCTCTTACACAACGCCGTATGAAATTGTCCTTGCAGTATATAACAAAACTGTATTCTAACGAGTGTAACCCTGCATTTAACTGTGTCTTTAATCCTCTTTATTAGGATTTGTACACCAAAAAGTCTTCTCTTGTTCCGCCTCTTGGTTTAAGAATCAAACCATTCATTTCTGCTGCCGGCATTGAGCTGGAAATATATCTCCTTCCCGTCTTCTTTCTTCTCCTCCTTGGCAATTAGTGAGTCCACATGTTGAACTAACACTGACAAAGTATAAGAAATCAGAAACTAATGAATTACAATATAAACAAGAATATAATCAATTAAAAAGTAAATATAATACATACAAATCCTTATTTACAGATGGGTCAAAGGATGGTGGCGCAGTTGCTTGTGTCACTGTCATTCGATCCAGAACAATATCTTCTCTATTACCAAATAACAGCTCTATTTTCACAGCAGTAGCTAACGCTGAAAATACATTTAAAAAAATCCTAAATATAAACAATATATATTTTCTGACTCTCTTAGCTGCCTTGAGGCTATTAAAACTCTTTCTTGCAAACATCCACTTTCAATCGAAATTATTGAATTATATAATGATCTTGCTACTGGCCAATACGACATCGTCCTCTGTTGGTTACCCAGCCAAGTTGACATTTCTGGTAACACGATGGCCGATCTTGCTGCCAAGGCAGCCCTCAACAAATCTGTGACACCACTTCTTATTCCATACTCTGATTATCAAGGTGACCTTAGAGCTTACATCCGTGATCTGATGCAGAAGAAGTGGGACACCCAAGTG